TTCAGCTTGATGGTTTGGCTTGTGGCGAGGGCAGTTCAGTGTTTGTGCTGCAGGCCATTAAGACAGTCCTCACCCTGCAGGGGGGGTGAACTGGCCTGCCACAACCCCCAGAAACCTCAAAATAAGCAATCACGTGGCAGATTTGGCGGACGGGCAGCAATACTGAATCACTTCCTTTATAGCACCTCATAACGGCTGACAGTGAAAGAAACCAGTAAGTATAAAAGATAAAATATATTTTAAAGTAATCAATAGGAAAATTTTTGTAAATTATTCTGTGACAACCCACTTCTCACATGCAACTTGTATGCACGTGACTAGGACTGGGAAAAGTCACATGATTAGGTGATCTGATTAAATTGTTCACACTTCAAAAAAAAACAAAAAAAACACATTGACATCTGTCAGCCATCTGGAGCCAAACAAGAAATTATTATCAGCTTTGCTACATTAGCTAGAACCTTTATGTTGCATAGCTAGGTACGTACTGTAGTAGGTAAAAATTAGTACGCAAAACATTTGGATGTCTACATTATAAATGGGTCTATAAATACTATAAAAAACATTTCTTTCAAAGGAGGCGAATAGCATCCCATTCTGAAGCCATATATACAGTGCTGTTGAGCTGTGTTTGTAACCTATAACTATATTCTCCCTAACAAACCACGAGAGACACAATCTAATTTCCTCTTATTGTCTTCAACATTAACAATAGAACACTTTATCACTATCTTGTTATTGCTATCCAACTATGTTTGTTGTTTGTATTATAATAATCACTTTCAATGGCTAAGTAGTAGATATTTTGGCTATAAATTTACACCTTTGTACCTGTTGCCATATATATAATATACATTGGCCAACGCACAGTCACTCTATCTGGATTATAGCAAAATTATTTCTTCTTCTCACCAAAGCAAAATTTTTAGGATCATCCCATACTCAACCAAGATAATTCTTATGATTCTTTTTGTGCCATAAATATCAAAATAGAGCCAGTAGGCACTGGGAAACAAATCTTTTTAAAGAGCTTCGTTGTCTAGTTGCATAGAAAATTACCGCTAAACGTCACCTTGCTTTTGCACAGGAGAATGAGATTCTTGGAGCATCTTTCAACAAATAAATATAAATTTCAGAACTTCTCATGCATTTAAACTTTATATACTGAGTATTTATTACGTCACAATAAACTTTATGCAAAGTGAGTTTGTGCTGGGCATCTGCCATCCATTATTTGCATGCATATATTCTGCTTACCACTGGAGAATGATGCATTTCCGTACACTTTTGAAATATTGAGTGTAACTTGCATTACATAATGTAAAACACAACTTACTGCAATGTAATATTATGTACTACTATCAACTATGATGTCAAGCTTTGGCAGGGACACCACAACCACCAGAGTATAGTTATATCTATAAAAATTTATTGCATTAAGAAAAAAAAAAAAAAAATCTTAATTTTAAATGAGTAGATGAGATACTGAGGATTATACAAAAGAAGTATATATGAAAAAGGGAAATAAAAAGAGAGAGAAAAAAACACAAGAAGATCAACAAAGAAAGATATAAAATATATAACTTATAAATATAATATCTAGCTTGCATTATCTTTACATTTGCTAGTTATTACTGATCACTTAAAGGGACAGAAAACAATGAAAAAATATATAACAAATAAAAAAGTTTACATCATTTTCACATTTATCTTTTGGAGATAATGAAACAGCTTTAAAAAAAATGAAGCAATTACGCTGGTAAAAATCACAGAGGATGTGGTCTTAGCACTCAAATTAATCTTTTGACGAAAATTAACATGAATTATCCATGTGATTAATTTATGTACTTGTTTCTATCTACATTTAATGCAGCAATCTTAACTAAAATACCATTCATGTGAACCATCTCAAATGGCCAATGTGAACCAATCATGAACCTAAGAGCCAGCAATCCATCTGTGTATGAACCCAGCATTATATATTAAATAAACAATAATAACATATAATAATCTGAATTCAATAAAAAAAGCATCTTGAAACAACTGACAGTGAACACAAGTTACAACTATTACTCTCAAATCCCTTATTAGTTAGTTGGTCTTAAAACATGGGATGGATATAATAGTTAAACCTTACATCAGTAATTCATATCTCCTAAATATATTAGTATACAAAAGTACTCTAGCAGGTGTTATAATATTAATGCACCATACCACCAAACCTGAATCAAATCCTTATAAAGAGGATGTTCAACATTGTTATGCAATATATGAAACACTGGGCAATTGATCATATTCTGTCTCGGGTGTTGTAAGGTTGTCGTCGTACAGGTTGCAGGTACTTCCACTGCCCGAGTTCAAGGTTTGGGTTTTATTTCTGGACTTCAAACCTTTTGTGGAACAGTGTTGCGACTTGTCCATGGATGTTTAGGATTCGACGACATCTCTCTGTTTCTTTTTAAATTCCGAGATCCGAACGATTTAATGTTCCGCGACGTATGACACTTTTGTTAGCTGTGGTTGCCCAGCAGGTGAGTGATGACTCTTGTGGCGTCTTACAGTAACACATTTAAAAACCAATATATGGTCTTTGTACTTTTATAAAAACAAAAACAAGAAAAAAAAATTAATAATATTCCAATTAAAGCTCACATCTTGGACTACATATAGTAGAGTACTTAGACAATAAAATTTTCTGCACTGAATAGAGACCAAGGGCAATTTCGTCCTCCTGTAAAAGCCACAAAAGCAACCCTCCTCTTGCAAGATGCTCCTCTGTTTATGCTTAAAGAGCTACAAAGGCTGTAGTTTTGAGGTACTTTGGCCGGCTTAAAGTTAGCTTCAAATGTCAGTGCTAGCTGCCGCAGTCTTTTCGCACTTCCTTTAGAGTGTTTATGGAAAGTACAAAGGACTCTTACACCGAGAAGCTGACATTTACGAGATACAATAAGCCTGGCTGCACTCATCAGAAACAGCCAAAGACACTATCTACTAACTGTGGCTTTGTAAAAATGGCCTACCTATGCGCAGGAAGTCATGGTTCTACAATTCTACGATTACCTGATGTATCACAGCATGCGTACATCTAAATACTAGCAGGCATCACTCTAGGCACAGTACTAGAACACGCAGAGCTATACAACTGTGGCGGCACCCAGTGTTTGCATAATGTACATCAACCCACTGCTTTTCTGCTAACACAGTTCTCTTGTTTAACTTAATGTACAACCTTCTCAGCATACATATCTGCTTACATTGCATGTGCATTCATGCATATACTGACATGCATGCACACATGGATCTGTAGGCAGACATAGAGACACAAGCACGCATGAATGTTAACACATACAAACACACCCATACAAATGAACACATATACTCTTTTCAGTCCATATTTGATACTTTTTGACTATGAGTGAGATAATGTTCGTCACTGGAACTTGGCTCTCTTCCTGGAAAAATTTGTGGTAAATCCCTAGCATTTTGGACAATGGTTTTGGCACATGAATTTGAGCTATCCCTAACTCACAGCCAGAATGACTTAAGATGTGGAACCAGTGCTCTTGGCTGCGAACAGATGGTGAATCTTTCCCCCTCTTGGCATTCCTGACCCACTTAACCAATACATATATGGCACCAGTAATCAAACTGTTAACCCTAATAGCACATTTATAGTCCAGTACTGCTAACGGAGCTATACCTAAAAGGCAAGATGTCAAGGATACTGAATGGTCAGTCTCTGGCAATATACTGTTAAGTATCTTTTTTCACCTCCAAGCCACCACCAGCACATGAAGACTCGCATGCCATATGCACTGCAGTGACTTATCCTCGACATCCCATGAGATCATTTAACAAATTTTGGAACAAAGAAGAGAAAAGAATATACACTCGATAAATATGAGGGTTCGTGGTGGATGCATATCACAAAGCCAGATAAATTCACCACCTACAATCAGTAGGAAAGGAGACACCTCATGTCTACCTCATGCCAAACAATGCTGGCACGACATACACATCAGGTTATCTGCTAAGCCAATTCTAACATGTTGCTAGTTGGATTCTGGCTCGAACACTCATCCTACAATAGCATACTCTCCTCTGTCAAGCCTGAGTCAAATCGGACGTATAACTCCACTATGAAGAGTCCTCCACACCCCAAGATACACATGGACGACAGCACATATCACTTCTCCACTCCTAAGAGTCTTTTTGAACAACTTGCATGCATGTGAGGACAATACTGCATCCTTGCCCACACATGAACTCGCACTGAACACATCAGAACCTGGTTGGATTTAAATGATCTCGCAATATCACCATCCAGTCTAAAATCCTCTTTGTTACATGATCAAGGACATTTACATATGAACACAAATAAAAACAACTCCTCTCTGATACTGAAAATGCACAACCATGAACTCTACTTGCTTTGCTGAAAGCTATAAAGCACTTACATTACTTATTGCATGTTTGTTCGCTGGCACTGTGATTCAGTAAATACTTGTCTGGCATCCACATCCAGCATTCCTCTTACACTAGGCTGGCAGAAGAACCTAAAATCATGCATGAGCTGGCCATACAGATCTAGGCTGAGGAGGCCTACGCCTGATACAGATTCATATCTACTTAACATAACTTGGCATCACGATAAGGTAAAGGTATTGCTCAATGTTGGCCTACATTCTTTCTTTGTATATATATATATAAAAACATTTTGGCCCATATTTGGCACATGTATTACATAGATTAAGAGTCCTTCCCTACAAAGAACAGACATTCAGCAGTACTGTAGGTTGTTGCAGGCAATAAAGATTCTTTCATCTCTCTCTCTTTCTTAATTCCTTTCTTCCTGTTTTTCTTTCTCTCTCTTCCCATTTGCATTATCACTGCTTCGCAATAGCCTCTTTGAGTGACCCCCATCCTTTTCCTGAGGCCGAATGGTCGCCTTCCTTCTCTCCTTCCATCCCGCTTCCCTTCCTGCTATGCGTTGTGGATGGTTATGTGGACTGAGACTTGGTGGGCGTGTGGGGGGCCCCTGGGTGTGCCCCGGGGCTTGTGTCTATGGCAGGAGGAGGAGGTGGAGGGGGCCCTGAGCTCCCTGATGGGGGGGGCCCTGCCGCCGCTGCCGCTGCTGCTGCTGCAGCAACGGTGGCCTCACTGCTGTGCACCACGGTCGTGAAGTACCGGTCTGAAAATGTCGAGATCCGTAAAACAAGATTGATTAGGATTATTAAGAGTGTGTGGCTTGGCATGAGGAAGTTTGGATATGAGATCAATCACACTAAAACATCATTTCTTTGAGTCCATGCCTACTGTCAAGGAATGAGCACAATATCTTATAGAATCTGGAAATAAAATTCCTATATTCGAGGACAAAAATCCAATTATATTTATACATCTTGTATGAAATTGGATCATCTTCTTTAAATACCTTATAAAACAGTATGCATATATTTTTATGTAAGATAAAAAATATATAACAAATAAATGAATAAATAAATAAAACAAAACATAAAAAACCCATCCAAACAAATGAGCTGCGCGGAGGTGGCGTCGGCAGGCAGAGTGGGCATCAGCGTCGACATGGTAGTGTAGTCCATATTCTCGTCCAGGTTGATGAAGGGGGTGTTCCAGCGCGGCACGGGAGGGGTGGAGCGAGGGGTCGTGCGCGGGGTGGTGCCCGGGGACGTGAAGAGGCTCATGCTGGTCGGGGATATGACACCCGACATGGCGCTGACTGGACTCATGCTGGAGTACGTGAAGAGCTGCCGGACGAGAGACGAGCATCGGTTGAGAATGGGATTGGGCTCGGGGCTTGTGTCTATGGCAGGAGGAGGAGGTGGAGGGGGCCCTGAGCTCCCTGATGGGGGGGGCCCTGCCGCCGCTGCCGCTGCTGCTGCTGCAGCAACGGTGGCCTCACTGCTGTGCACCACGGTCGTGAAGTACCGGTCTGAAAATGTCGAGATCCGTAAAACAAGATTGATTAGGATTATTAAGAGTGTGTGGCTTGGCGTGAGGAAGTTTGGATATGAGAAATAACCATAAATATATAAACAAACAAAATATAAAAACCCAACAAAACAAATAACCATAAATAAATATATAAATAAACACAATTTTTTTTTTTTTATAAACCCAACCCTCCCCTAACAAAAAATCCCGCCACCAACCATCCTCGATGAGCTGCGCGGAGGTGGCGTCGGCAGGCAGAGTGGGCATCAGCGTCGACATGGTAGTGTAGTCCATATTCTCGTCCAGGTTGATGAAGGGGGTGTTCCAGCGCGGCACGGGAGGGGTGGAGCGAGGGGTCGTGCGCGGGGTGGTGCCCGGGGACGTGAAGAGGCTCATGCTGGTCGGGGATATGACACCCGACATGGCGCTGACTGGACTCATGCTGGAGTACGTGAAGAGCTGCCGGACGAGAGACGAGCATCGGTTGAGAATTGGATTGGGCTCGGGGCTTGTGTACTATAATTATTGCTACGACTTTTATTATCATAATTATTATCATTACCATTACTTATATTACAACGACTTTTATTATCATAATTATTATTTTTGTCATTACTTATATTATCAATATTATTCTTTTTATATAATTATAATTATGATTACTAAAATTATTACTATTATCAAAAATTTTCATTACATTTATTTATAAGTGATTTAGTTAACAGAAGTAAATAAGGAGATTATTAATACTGAAGGATATAATTTTAAGAATAAGAGCTTAATTTTTGTTTTGTTTGTTTTATATGACTTGTCTTAGAAACAAAAGTATGATGAATAAAATGTAAAATGACACCAAGAGTGCGTTCTTCTGATTTCCAAAAACGTTCTCTTGATACACATTTCAAAATTATTAACAGTGTCTATAAGAAGGTTCAATCTATCCTTAAAACCAATATCTATATTATTACTGCAAACTTAAAAATCTACAAAATAGCAAATTAAATAACTTATTTCTAAATAATATCTTCAATAGCCTTTTACATGAAAAATATAATGTATGTAAAAAATAAGAGTAACTACATACTGGTAAATAATGACTATAGTTCAATGCATCTTTCAAGTTTTATAATTAGATAAACACATTATTATATCAACACACAAACACACAAACAAGCACATGAACACACATAAAAAAACACACCCATGCATGCTTATAAAAAATACACACACACACACACACACACACACACACACACACACACACACACACACACACACACACACACACACACACACACACACACTAACACACACACACTTTCCCGACCTTACTCCTACTTTTCAATCCACTAACAGTAAAATAAACTTAACACTTTTCAAAACTTCCAATATGCAAAATACATTATTCCAAATACACCCTCATTCCCTCTTCCTCTCCCCTTTCTCACCTCATTCATAACTCATTACTGAATTCACGAACTTACCTTGACTTTTTTTATTTATATATATTTCTTAATTATATATATATATTTTTTAAAAACCTTGTCTATGTTCTACCCTCAACTTTTGCAATGTCTACATGGTTTCTGAATCTTTTGATTAAGGAAAAGAAGGGTCCTACTACTAGTGAAAAAAATCATTACTAGAAATGTATCAATAAATACTATAATTGAGTTAAAAGGGTAAAGAGGGAGAGGATGGAGATAGGTAGGTAGAGGGAGAGAGAGAGACAGCAAGGGAGGGATGGAAGGTGTGAGGGAGAGAGGGAGGAAGGGAGGGATGGAAGGTGATAGGGAGAAGGGGAGAGAGGTAGAGAGAGAGAGACTGATGGAGGGAGGGAGAGGGAGAAGAGAGAGAGAGAGAGAGAGAGAGAGAGAGAGAGAGAGAGAGAGAGAGAGAGAGAGAGAGAGAGAGAGAGAGAGAGAGAGAGAGAGAGAGAAAGGGAAAGAGTTGAAAGAGTGAGAAAGACAGCTCCAAACAAAAAAGACCCAGACAGCAAGCACAGATCTCGCCACTACTAAGGCAGTGCACCAACCGACCGCCACCTACCCCAAGCGGCATGCACTTTCCCCCCTTTCCCCTTATTACACTTTGCCTCTACTGCCTTAAAGAGAATAAAGTAACCCAGCACCACCTTTCCCGACCCCAAGACAACCCCAAGAGGAGGAGGAACCCACCTGGCCGTGCTGATGGTGGTGGTGGTGGGGGGTGTGGGAGGGGGGGGTATCATGTCGGCTCGTGATGGCTAAGCGCAGAGGACCATCCTGCCGGTACATACGCACACCTCCAAAGCTAGCGTCACACACAAACATCTATGGGGACCGTCCATTGGTTATTTGTATGTGCACGGTAAGTCCAATTCAGAATTTTTTACTCTATAGTACTTCTCTTAAGGGGGGGGGGGCAAAGGCCAATTTCTCTTCCTTTTTAAATTTGTGGGATGTTATAAGCTCTGGATTTCTTTTATCTATCTTTGGAGAGATTTTTACTAAGCCGATAACAAATGAACGGTCCAGGCATGCTCAGGGCACACTGCAGTGTCTATCTAAGGTCAATGCAGATATTGAAACAAACGAAAAAAAAAAAACATCCAAAAAATAGAATGTTCATATATGATCCAAAACATTTTTTTGAGAAACTGAATAGAAGGGTTGCAAATGATTATATCTTCATTATTGGTAATGACATTTGTGTTATTCCTAACATACTGAAAATCCCTCTTACAGGTCATGTCTGGATATCACAGACACACAAGCATGTATGTAGCTGGGTCATGTATTACATTTTTTCTCCATGCATTTCTAGTGATTTACTCTGACAACAACAGAACATGTATTAGCAAAAATTCAATTTGATTGGATTTACTTTTTTTCTTTCCCCATTTGGAATATGAAATGCGATCTGGAATTGTTAAAAACAACAATCTGGCATATATACAATTAACCCAGCCACCAATGATAAAGGCAATACTGCATTATAGTTACTGTTAACATTACTGCTGAAATAAGTATTATATTTCTGCAGGATAGTATTAGTAACTGTCAGGAATGCTATGTATTATAATCTGTTAAATTGCCATTCAATATTAAATATCTTATAAAATGTTTTGCATTTGTAAAATTAATTATGCATCAAACAGCAAAATCTCACAAGAAAGTGGGTAACCTCTCTTCCCACATTCCAATCAATTCCCACTTCAATCACTTTCTGTCAGCCACATTTACCATGACTTCTCTTACAAAAGATGAAGCATTGATTTATGACTTTACGTAGCGAATGTATAGCTTTATAATATTTTGTGAGCCTCTGTAGTAAGAATTCCCTTTCTCTCTCTTCTCCATAGGACAATATGAGTTTGCTAATACAAGAGCATGAATAATCTCTTACAGACATGAACCGTAAGTCAAAATAAAAATCCATCCGAGATAAGATACACATTTCAGGGGGGGGGAAAAATACAATGAAGCAACCACATACAACATAAGACCAAAAAAAAATCTGACCTTGAAAGAGAAAAAGGAAAAAAACAACTTAACACGAGCGAGCTCTTTGTTGCACGTTATACTGTACCTGTGAGACTGGTGGAGCGGAGGTTGCAGGAGGGGGGGAGCTGAGTCCTTCGTCGCGTCGGTCTGGAGGCGAGACATCGGGAAGGATAGATCCTCCATTACCTCCCCCACTACTTCCAGCAGCTGAGTGTGGGGGGGAGACAGGCCCCGGAGAAACACTACCGCTGTGGGCCAGGTCAGCTGTGGGAAGAAGGGAGGACTCAGATTGGTGCGGTAGATCTGCTTTTCTGATTTCGGTCATATCTTCTTATCAAATTCTAGATTTAGAAAACCTTGCTCTCTAAAACATTTTATTTAATCATCACCATCTAAATAACCTTCCAAAATAACACATCTAAACACAACTTATTAAAAAAAAAAAAACTACTTTCTTTTCGTTTCTGATTTCTGTCATATCTTCTAATCCTATTCCAGATTTAGAAAACTTTGCTCTCTAAAACCATTTTGTTTAATCAAAATCATCAACCATCTCCATAATCATCCAAAAATAACACATCTTCCAAACACCAACTCATTAAAGAAAAAAAATACAAAACCTACTCATGAAGATTTCACCCAACTCTTACATACATAAACCTTACTGTACACAACCGTACCTGTGGAGCGAATGATGGCCACAGGTCGTGCCATGGGCGGTGGAGGAGGAGGGGGGAGCATTGTACCTGCCGTGTAGTAACCGCCCTGGATTTTGGTCGGGCTGCGGGACACGCCGGGAGGAGAGGCTTGCTGTGGGTCGGGAGTGCATTGTTAGGGACGTGTAACATGGTGTGCAAAATAATTATTTTCCCAGATTTGAAGATCATTTGAAGGTGTTTAATTTTTAAAATTACGGGCTTCAGTCAGGTTATGAAATAAGATGGAAATTTATATATATATATATATATATATATATATATATATATATATATATATATATATATACATACATTCAGCTGTGGTAACCTAGGTACAGTTTATATTGTCACACATATAAACTTCTGAGCTGTAAAAGAAAAATAAACCCACCCACACTACAAGAAACAAAAAAATTAAATAAACCCACCCACCACATGAAACAAAAAAAATAAAACAAAACCCATTTCCTCACTCTAGATAAAATGATAAAATAAAAACACCCACCTGCGTATGTTGCGTATTCTGAGCCTCCTGGCACACGAGCGTCACAAAGTCTGAGAAAGTGTCATGCCCGTTTTCGTGGTATTTGGTGGGCGATGCTGGAGCTGCCTCGTGATAATAGCTGGGGGTCGCTGCCATCACAGTGCTGCTTAGGGACATTGGGGGCAGCACTGTGGACGGGCACAAGACTGTTGGGAGGGGAGGAAAGAGTCAGTTGGTTGTCATGGGGTTTTTCTTTTTTTCTCTCTCTTTTTTCTCTGCTTTGTGACATACGTTATATGTATATTATCATGTCTGTTTTTACATGTATTATCAATTATATATTTCAGAAAAAAAGTGCTTTGCTAAGATTATCTACTTCAACTGTTATGTATCACAAGACCCAGACTTCACTACATTCAGTGACAGCATTAAATGCATAACAAATCTCTTTCTCACACAAACACATGTGCGTACGTGCACATGCATGCACGCACGCACCCACCCACCCACCCACCCACCCACACACACACACACACACACACACACACACACACACACACACACACACACACACACACACCACCTTCTATCAACCGACTCCTAAAAAAAAAAGAAAAAAATATATATATATACATATGTATCTATATATGCATATATATATATATATATATATATATATATATATATATATATATATATATATATATATATACATATATTTATATATATTTATATATATGAATATTCCCCCACACACACGCATAAAAGTCGCACATCATTCACCTTCTCGATTGTGTGGCGATACAACGTTGCGTGTGTGCTGTTCGTGACTAGACAGTGACTCTACGGAAGGAGTTCTAACTACAGGCTGTAGACCACCTGACGCGGCTATGGTAACTTTTCCTCCACTGTGCACCAGGTGGGGAGAGTGTACCGATGGGGGACCTGTTCAGCGGCAGCAGCAGCAACAGCGGCAAGGGGGCAGGGGCGGAGGGGCGGGGGAGGAAAAAAAATAAAAATTGTAAATGAATAAAAAATTTTGAAAAGGAAAAGAAATTTATTGCATGGAGAGTTTTTTCCCTGTATCATAGATATATATATTCTTTCTTTTTTAATGCATGGATCTTATAGATTTTTTTTTTCATTCTCTCTCTTAAATATAATCATAATTTGTATTGTACTTCTTATAAACTGCAAAATGAAATGATTCATTTTCTTAGCAATAGCTGATATGGCTAATATCAAGTATTTTTTAATTCTTATTTGTAATAAATAAGATTTAATGTTATCAAATGCCATATCTTATTCAAAGTATGGAATTCTAATCCGTAAGATACAGCATTTTTTTTCTCATATAATTCTAAACTCTGGTGATTACAGTAGAAAATTACATCATATTGGATATTTTTTTTCTTTTTCAATAGTTTCACTTTCTTCTTCTTCTTCATACGTCCAATAAAACATGAACAAAATCTGAACTGACAAAAAGCATCAAAAGTGCAAAAACTACATCTCACAATTTCACAATAACTCTCAACATCTTTTACTGAAGAAAAAAACACTATAACATAGACTTCTATTACCTATGCTAAAAATTTCTCTTCATCAGCGAAAGCAAATAAATAAATAAAAACAAAAATGATGAACTTAAAATGAGCTCAAGAAACAATGAAAGGATTTGAAAAACAAAAAACAAAAAAAAAGTTTCAGGTCATCCATAGGTTAATCTAATAATCAAAAAACACTCTTATAGCATCAGGGAATAAATGATTTACATGTATTCTGCTCTAGTAATTCACAATAAACAACTGATCTATTGCACACCTGGGTCGGGTGGCCTACAAACCTACTCAAAGGTACTACATCACACGTAACTCTATATACCTGAGGAAACTGCCCTGATTTCTCCATTAAAAAAAAAAGAAATGACATTAAAATAAAAGAAAAAAAAGGACATAGCTTTCATTGGCAATAACACCCCAATACTTATGGTTCTTATTTCATTATTTCTATTTTTTTTTTCTTTTTCTTTAATTAATAAAGGAAATCAACGCAGTTTGCCTCTCGGGTTGCTGACGGGTTGGGGGGAGAAGGATTGATATCTGCTTTGTAGGATTCAAGGATTTTGGTTTAGAAAAAATATATGTATTCAAGAGACAGAGATGATGTTCTAAATCATTTTGCAACTTCTGCTCATTTGGCTTTATTGTGGAATGTTATCATGTGAGAATTATATATATCATTATTTATAATTATTAAATGTTGTAAATATTTTTATTAAGTATTATTCATTTATTATTGTAATCCTGTTAAGTGTTATCACTCTTGATATTAATCATTATCATTACTGAATCTCATCATTATCAATTATCCTTATTACTGTCATTACTAATGCTAGCATCCTTAATTGAATTACTAGTAGCATTACTATTATCACTGTTACTATCATTATATCAATATCATTATGTCAAGACTATCTTTTAAAAAATTCTTTTATCACATGAAATCAGGAGCAGGTCACATATTGTGTCTTGATATCCATGAAAACTTATTACTAAAAGCTATAAATCTAGCAAAATCTATAAATGCTATTCTATTTAGTAGAAGGGTTTTTCTGTCCTAGTTTTACATTAAAAAAAAAAATCTTTGTTGAAAACACGAAAGCAAAATTTACAATATGGAAAAATATCAAAGGTTAGACAAGATTATTTGCTTATTAGAATTATTTCTGACCAAGTTTATGGTTGTATTTAATTATGAATGAGATTATTTAATACATATATTATGCAGCTTTCATGGGCAGAGTGGTGATAATTGAAGACAAAGAAGAAATGGAAGGAAGAACTGTGTTAGTTTTTTATCTTTATTATTGGCATTTTTGGGAGATGAATGTTTTCTGGGCAAAAACTAGTCATTATTGCAATGAAATCAATTATCATTATTATTATTCCTTTGTCAAAAATAGATCATTGTTATTACTGCTTCATCAGAATTAAAGTTACAGTCACTATTTGAGTTCTCAAATACTGGAAATTTCAAATATTAACGCCTAAAATGTGAACTTTTTTCCCTTGCATGTTAGTCAGCAACTATACGAGGAAAAAAAAAAGAAAAAAAAGAAAGACTTTCACGACTCAAAGTATCACAATCTCAAATTTTTACGGAGCACAACTATCAAATGCAAAAAATAAATCACACACGAGCACCATTCTCAGGGACTTTCTAGGTCTATATATTGTTTTTTTTTTTTTTTTACCATACTCGAACCTCTGACCCTCTACAACTTGGTCTACGTCAACACATTAGTCAGAGGTTTTATGCTATTGTTAAGCCAATAATAAATCTTAAGTTCTATAGAAAGCAGTGATCAAATACAGTGTGCATGTGAAGTTGTTTTTTTTTATAACATTCAGATATGAACTATTGAACATATATACATAAATGTAAATATAAATATAAATATAAATAAATAAATATATATATATATATATATATATATATATATATATATATATATATATATATATATATATATATATATATGTATATATATATATGTATATATATATATGTATATATATATGTATTTGTATATATATATGTATTTGTATATATATATATATATATATATATATATATATATATATATATATATATATATATATATATATGTATATATATTCATACTTATACTTGATTTCTAAGTTCAATTCCAAGTACTTATTGATTAATAATAAAATATATAATTAACAAAAATTATGAATTTTGAATTCAGGATGAAAAAGATACTTTCACACCTATTAAAACATCTGCATTTGATCTTCCAGCACAAGAGGCAAGTGAAAATATATATGTACTTGTATACCTAACTGTCTACAGAAAGAGAGAGAGAGAGCAGACTTAAGTAATGCTAGAACTAGATAAAACAAGAAGAGAAAATTTTTTAGGGACTTTTACCTGTGACATGCCATCGATATGAGTAATTCTACAAGACAGTTTATTAGAAAATGATCCTGCAAGTACTAAGTTCTAATGAAAAAAAAAATGTGAAAACAAAATGACTATCTCTCATAAATCTTACTATACTAATCTGCATCAGCACATGACTTTCTTTGCAATAAAGTTAAATAAAATAAAAGGTACACCAATGCTAATCCACCCTAGTCAGTTTATGCATGTCAACATCCAACAGATGGCATGCATCACAGGTAATGCAGTCAAAAGAGAAAGAGAGAAAACCAGATAAAGAGAGAGAGAGACAGCGAGTGAGAGAGTGAGAGAGAGAGAGAGAGAGAGTACCGAGGGTGTGTTGCGAGGTGTGGTGAGGGGGGGTGTGAGGGTGGAGGTAGGTGCTAGACGCTGCGACTGAGGCGGCTGC